CCCCCCCGTCGCCCCCGCGGCTGCCCCCCCCTGCCCGCTGCTCCACACGCTGCAGGGCAGAGCTGCCCTCCGCCCGGGGACATCCCTTGTCTGTGGCCTCCTGCAAACAACATGGGTTTCGGGGGCCCCACACAGGCACTGCCTTGCTTGGGGATCCTGGCCAGGGGGGAGGTCCTGTCCCGGTGGGGTCCCATCCCTGTGCAAGTTTCAGCCTCCACTCACATGTGAGGTCCTACAGGGATGCTCAGTCCACCATTGGGGTACATGACAGGGACACCAGGATGGGGACACCAGGGATGTAGGCATCTGGAATGGGGACACCAAGGATGGGGAAACCAGAGGCAGAGGCCAGGAACACCAGAGTCAGGAATAACAGTGAGGGAGATACCAGGTATCAGGCATCTGCAGCCCCTGCCTTGTGTGGGCTGTGGGGATGGCTGTGGGGATGGCTGTGGGGATGGCTGCCTGGGGCTGGTGGATTCAGGATGTAGTGACTGCGGGGCTGTCTGAGGGCAGCAGAGACCAAAGGGACCGGTGAAAGGCATGGAGCACCATCCTGCATCACTGGGGCAGCTGCTTGCCCTTCATGGGTCTGGAGCATCCCTAGGGCTGGAGCATCCCAGGCAGGAGCATCCCAGGTCTGAAGCAGCCAGCAGGCAGAGACAGCTCCAGCAGCCACCACAGTCCTGTCTGCCCTACCAGCCTCATCCTCCCCATGCTGGGACCAGCCCAGGCCCAGACATGGGTGCTGCACCATCTGCTTCACCCAGCACCCGTGGGTGCTGGAAACCATGGCAAGGGCAGCATTGCTGGAGCAAGACAGAGGCATCCATAAGTCCCAGGAGAAAAAACACCTTCCCAGAGCAAAGCATCCCAGCAAAGGCTTCAGCTAATGAGCTGCTTGAGTCCCCCTGGCTGCTTGAGCCAGATGAGATCAGGTGAGCAGAACTAAACTCCAGGAGGGGCTCGGGGCAGCACTGCCAACCTGAGGGTGCAGCACCCACAGTCACCCACCCCACGCTGTCCTGGCTGGGGCCAGCAACCCTACATCCTTCCAGCATCCCCCAGCAATCCCAGGCGACTGTGACCACCTGTATTCCTCCCTCCTTCTCCCCAGCTTTGCAAGCCAGGCAGCCCTGCAGCTTGTTTCTCTCTTCATTTGGCATCCTCTCTGCCAGTACTGGGCTGGGGAAGGGGCTCCCAATTGCCCTGGGACCCCTCCCCACTGACAGGTGAGCAACCCATGCCCACACCTGCAGAAATAAGGGTTTACTGTCATCATAACTTTTTATTATAAAGACATATTTACACAGAATAAATCTTTACAGACATGAGATTGTGGTCAGCAGAACCTGGCAGCACTCAGAGCAAGGGCCCCCCTTTGGCACATGTCAGTGTTTGGCAGACCCCAGTGCCCCCCCATTCTCCCACTGTCCCACGGTGTGAAGTGGGCAGAGGGGCACAGAACCCTGTGCAATGTCCTGGGTGGGCACCCCGTACCTCAGGGGTCCCCAGAACGGCGGATCTGCCCACAGGAAGAGGAAGCCCTGCTCACCGGGGAGGGGAAGGCAGCTCACTCAGGTGTGCAATTAGCACCACGGGAATAAATAGACCCTCCCACCAGGACAAGCTCTGAGCTTGCTCCCAGCGGGTGGGGATGGGGCAGGTTCCCCGAGGGAGCTCCTAGACCCCTTCAGTCACAAAGTGCGTTCCACAAGGCCCACGCTGAGCCGGTGTCCGGGACTGC